GTTCTATGGACCCTAAGATATTTTAATGAACAGGATTGGGAACGTGCCCAACAGGCTAGTGTCTTAGCAAATGTAGCACAAGCTTTTGAGAGCGATGTCGATGTGTCTGGTGGCGAAGATGACAGGGACACTCTACTCAGCTCAGTTGATCTGTTGTCACCCAGTGGACAGGCTGATGCACAGACATTAGCCATGATGCCTCAAGAGCAGCTGGATGGCATCAACAAAGAGATGCAAGAAGAAAAGGAAAACACAGAGCAGCGAGCAGAGGAGATTGCAAGGAGAGTTGGTAGTGGAAGCTTAGACGATCTTGGTCGTTTTACATCAATGAGCTCCATTCCGCCCCACCCTGCTTCCTCGCTTGCCAGCTCCTCCCCTCCAGGCAGTGGCCATTCCACCCAAAGGAGAATTCCTCACAGCCCAGCCAGGGAAGTAGACAGACTGGGCATCATGACCCTGTTGCCAGCATCCAGAGAGGACGTGCGAGATGACAAGACAACGATAAAATGGGAAAGCCCCCCTCCGGCCTCCCTGAGGGCCCTCCGGGGAGACAGGCTGCATAAGGGTGCATTGCACACACTCAGCCATGAGGACGTCAGGGATGGGAGAAACTCGACAGGCTCCCAGGACGGTCCCGTGAGCAATCCCAGCAGGAGTAACAGCAGCCAGGACTCGCTCCAGAAAGCCCCTAAGAAGAAGGGAATCAAGTTCTCTATCAGCCGCTTGTTTGGCAAGAAGGAAAAGGGCAGACCTGGACAAGATGGCAAAGAATCATTAGGACATGCTGGTGTTTCAGAGACAGATAATGCATCTCAAGATGCCTTGGCACTGAGCAAATTGGGAGGACAGGCTGAAAAAAATCNGAAGATCTCTACAGGGCCAGGGAAGACTTGATCAAATCTGAGGAGATGAACACAAAATTGCAATGGGACATCCGTGAAGCCAAGGCCCAGAAGGAAGACATGGAAGAGAGAATCACTACTCTTGAAAAACGCTACCTCACTGCACAGCGTGAAGCCAATGATAAGCTTGAAAATGAAATTGCAAACAAAGATTCTATGCATCGACAGATGGAGGATAAAAACCGCCAGTTACAGGAACGGCTGGAATTAGCGGAGCAAACGCTGCAGCAGACCATGAGGAAAGCCCAGACACTCCCGGAGGTGGAGGCGGAGCTGGCCCAGAGGGTGGCAGCGCTCTGGGAGAAGGCTGAAGAGAGACAGGGCAACATTGAAGAAAGGTTAAGACAGATGGAGGCGCAGCTGGAGGAAAAGAACCAAGAACNGCGATGTCGATGTGTCTGGTGGCGAAGATGACAGGGACACTCTACTCAGCTCAGTTGATCTATTGTCACCCAGTGGACAGGCTGATGCACAGATATTAGCCATGATGCCTCAAGAGCAGCTGGATGCCATCAACAAAGAGATACAAGAGGAAAAGGAAAACACAGAGCAGCGAGCAGAGGAGATTGGAAGGAGAGTTGGTAGTGGAAGCTTAGACGATCTTGGTTGTTTTACATCAATGAGCTCCATTCCACCCCACCCTGCTTCCTCGCTTGCCAGCACCTCCCCTTCAGGCAGCGGCCGTTCCACCCCAAGGAGGATTCCTCACAGCCCAGCCAGGGAAGTAGACAGACTGGGAATCATGACTCTGTTGCCAGCATCCAGAGAGGAGGCACGAGATGACAAGACAACGATAAAATGTGAAAGCTCCCCTCCGGCCTCCCCGAGGGCACTCCGGGGAGACAGGCTGCATAAGGGGGCATTGCACACACTCAGCCATGAGGATCTCAGGGACGGGAGAAACTCGACAGGCTCCCAGGACGGTCCCGTGAGCAATCCCAACAGGATTAACAGCAGCCAGGACTTGCTCCACAAAGCCCCAAAGAAGAAGGGCATCAAGTCCTCTATCGGCCGCTTGTTTGGCAAGAAGGAAAAGGGCCGACCCGGACAAGCTGGCAAAGAATCATTAGGACATGCTGGTGTTTCAGAGACAGATAATGCATCTGAAGATGCCTTGAAACTGAGCCAATTGGGAAGACAGGCTGAAAAAAATCGTCAACTTCAAAAAAAGCATGAATTGCTCAATGAAGCCCGAAGACAAGGTTTGCCTTT